ACTCGAAAGACCTTAGTCCTCTCTTAAAAATCTTCTTTTAAGAAAAAGAACAGAAATGATGAAAAAACCAATATTGATGCCACAGGTCCTAAACGATAAACATGTTAATAACGAAGGCAAAGGAAGACAATTCCCATTTATATATCTGAAAAATAAATTAAAAGACAAACGATAAAGAAAGTAAATAAAGGGATTAGTAAAAAGTGATAAAACAAGTTGAGACTTGTTAGTTCAGTTTTAACTTGCATACAGTAATCCATAGATTATTCTGTATTTACATGGGCTACTTTCCTTTTAGGAGAAACACAATCGACATAAACGTTGTTCTATCTTTCTTTGTTGTACAATGAATAACAAAAATAGAACGATATTTGTATTGACTGTTTCCTAAAAGGAATTAAGCAGATTGAAAATAGATCGCTTTGTACATTAAAGTAAGTACTTTAATCTTCTGTGATATTTCAGCAAGCAAACATAGAAGCATCAAAATATGTGTTCCTTCAAAATCACGTTGATTTCTACTTTGCAAGAATCGACAGTAAATCCACAGTTTTATTGCGTTTTCGCATTTAAATTGTCTTCTTTTTCTCCGTTTTCAAAATGAAAAATGTAACGTTTAATAAAAGAGATTAGATTCGTTTTCTGTGGCTAAAATAGTGTACACTTTTGGAACTTAAAGTGAGATAGATATATGTTTGATATTTGTCGAAAACGGGAGAGCCTAGTACAGGAATAGAAAACAGACTAATTGATTGATTGTCGAAAGAAAGAGATAGAGAGACACGTTCATTTCTATCAATATAGATTAACTTTAATTTTGGTTTAATTTACTCTTTATCCTTTTCTAATTTTTCGAACAATATAAAAAGTTAAACCAAGATTACAGTTAATCCAGCTACATTCCAAAACATTCTCTTCAAGCAAAAATTTTATTGGATACAAGGTCTGCTCTTTTTAGCTGAATTTCTTGCGCACAGTACATCTTTTCTTTTTTCTCTCCAACAAGAAAAGAAAAAAGGGAAAGGTGAACTGTGCAAAAAATTCAACTAAAAAGAACAAGTACACGTTACGTGTATTATATATTTCCTCGTAGAGGACGTTTTAGAATGTAGCAGTACATTGGTAAAACCGGACAAGACAAAAGAAGGAGAATAAAATTATCATAAATGAGCGAACTCCTGAGGTTATCTGCCATATACCCTTGGATTTCCAGCACCGACGAGGCTCCAAAACGAGGAATGGAAAAAGAAAATAAAATTGTCGATCAATCGACTCGTACCTTGTTCCTTCTTCGTGGCCGCCGTCGCAGCCGCCGTGACCGTCGTCGTCGTCGTAGTCGTAGTCGACGCCGTTGTCGCCGTTGTTGTTGTCGTCGTCGTGGTAGTCGTCGCCGTCGGCGGTGGCGGTGGCTGCTGCTTGTCACTTGTCACAGACTCGACGGACATCGCGTCGTTGATCGCGTCGTTGATCGCGTCGGCCTTTCGTCGATCGCCGGAGGGGTAGGATGGGGTGTCCTGCGCGGATACCGGCGTTCCCGTCCCCTGTGATTCGCTATCTTTTCCGAGATGCGATCTCTATCTATGCCTCTCGTACACCATACACCATACAGAGCGGTGGCACGTAACACACCCGCACACAGACACACGCAAAAATGTGCGCGCGTGCGATGCACACGCACACGCGCGCGCGCGCGCACGGGACGCGCGCGATCGCTCTAGCTAAGCTCGCAGTCGCACGCTACACGCGCATACTCACACGCACGCATACGTATCCACGGGGGCGCGCGCGCGCACCTTTTTACACTTACATTTCCCTTTCTACGTGTCGTGACTCGGCCAGCGATCAACGAAGCTCCGACGGGACGATGTGTCCTTCTTCTTGCGACCGTTTCGACAGCGAAATGAACGATTAGTGGACAGGAGAAAAGAGAGAGAGAGAGAGAGAGAGAGAGAAGGGGAACGGGGAGAGGAGAGAGAGAGAAGAGAGAGCAAAGAGTGTGTTTACTGGGATAAAGGAGATTATACGAGAGGGAGAGAGAGAGAGAGAGCACGAGTGAGAGTTACACGCGAAGCTGCGCAAACGAATGGGCCCTGACGATTCTGCGAATGGCACGATCGCAGGATCTTTTCGTGGCGTGTCGGCCAACGGTCATCTCATGTCACAACACGGCCCGTATAAGTGCAGCAGCTCGCAGCTCGCCGCCGATCACCGTCAGTCCATCGATCTCCGTATATCACACACAACAAAATAAACGGCTCGTGTACACACATGCGCGCACACGCACTGGTTTCTCACTCGCGGTGCTATGCAAAAATAGAAAATGGCTGCGCGATCCCCACTTCTGCCGCCGCCGTTTCTTCCGAGCCCGACCGATCGCCTGGCTCTTCACTCTTCCTTGCCTCGTCTCGTCTCGCCTGCCTTCCTGCCTCCGCGATCCCACGCAATGTCTAGTCGAACGTTTCTCGCCGAGGGGGATCGGAAACAGGGAGATGGAATTTGCAGCACAAGTTCCAAAAACACGGTGGAAAGGGACGGATGATACGAGGAGAAGGCGCTGTCATCGATGAAGGTTTGACTGGGTTCGATGTTCGACGGGCCGAACCGGCCACTAGAATCCCTCGACGATTAAAGCCTGTTCACAATGGCTACTTTCAGCAGGAAAAGCAACTTTGCAACTGTTGTAAAATTCTTCAATATGATTGGTTTATACATTTAGATCCAATGAGGAATCACGAGCAAGACCAATCATATTGAAGACTGCTTTCTCTGCTGAACGCAGCCAATGGCTAAGTTCAGCCGTCCCTCGTCAGCGAACTCAACAGTTGAGTGAGCGCTCGCTGCTGTTGACGTATTCTTCTGGATCTAAAATGCTGATTGGATGATCTGAAAGAATACACCAATAATTTGCGAGCGCTCGCTCAACTGTTGAATTCGCTGGGTGCATTCAGAACGACTATGAACTGTAATAAAAGTTCCATTTTACATTTGATGCGTCATTTCATCCTTGTTGCTCATCAAATATTAAAAAGAGATAAAATGATTTATGCGCATTATGTGTAAAACGGAACTTTAGGTTGTAGGATTTATGCGACGCGAACAAACCTTTTATTTCAGTGAAAAAAATTTCAACTTATTATAAAATAAATATTTTACTCAACCAATTATGGATCTAAAAACGGGAAGACAGTTGTTTAATGCTTTTCATACTTCGCTTTCAGCGAAATAAAATCCAACGTAATTTTCGAATGAATTCGCTATAAAATTCATATCAAAATACGAAAATGTGTTTTTATTGAGAGAGAAAACATAGAGAAAATTTGCAAATACGCAACCAAGAAATAGTCGCCTGTGATTGGTGCGCGTCCCCATGCGATTGATTACTAGCCAATTGAGAATCGCTATATTTTCTGAACCAATGACGATTCAATGATTTCTCATAACAGAGAGCATAGAATTTAAAAGCCATACAACGCACGTGTTAATTTGCATTTTTGATATTTATGACAAAACGATAAATTACAGATTTTTCGTTATGATTGCGAGACATACTTGTCATAATGCGAAGCTTTTTACAAATATTTCATCACAATTTTATTGTAAGTATATGCTGAGTTTGGTTATGTCTGTTTAAAGGGATAAAAGTTTGTTTCAAACGTTTTAAATTATAATGATTGTGTTAAGATGTTTATCACATTGCAGTCTCGAACCTCACGTTCGTTCCTAAATGTTATCCAGCGTCAACGGAGGATGTGATGAGATTAAAAGAATTTGTCGATAGACATCACCATCTATGTGTGTTAACCGGAGCAGGAATATCCACGGAAAGTGGTATCCCCGATTACAGATCAGCCAAGGTCGGTCTTTATGCCCGAAGCAATCGCAAACCAGTTCTTTATAAAGAATTTTGTGACAGTGAAGCAATCAGAAGACGATACTGGGCCAGAAATTATATCGGATGGCCAAGGTTTGTCTTTTTGTAATTCAAACACACATACACAAACACACAGATTCCGTATATTATTTTAAAAAATTAATAGAGATGTGTCAACATCTCTTATCAGCATATGTTTATAGGTTTTCCTCTCTTAAACCAAACATTACGCACGAGATACTGAAACATTTAGAATATGTTGGAAAGGTGGGATGTATCGTTACACAGAATGTAGATAATTTACATTTGAAGGCAGGAAGTAAGAAGGTGATTGAGCTGCACGGAACAGCGTTCAGAGTAATGTGTCTGAATTGCGATCATAAAATAAACAGACACAAACTTCAAAGAGTATTTCAGAAACTCAATCCTTCTATGATCGCAACTACTCAGATGATAAGACCTGATGGTGACGTAGAATTGTCACAGGTATATACAATAGTCATATTTGTATATATGTACATTTATACTTGCGATATTTTAAATGCTATGTGTATTATTTTTAATAAAATATGTTTGACACAGGCACAAGTGGAAGGCTTTAATGTTCCTGCTTGTGATAACTGTGGTGGCATTTTGAAACCAGATATTGTATTCTTTGGGGACAATGTACCACACGAGAAAGTACAAAACGTGAAAGCTAATGTAGAAAATCTAAGTGCTTTGCTAGTTCTAGGAACAACTCTTAGTACATTCTCCGCATACAGAATTGTATTACAAGCGATTGATGCCAAGAAACCAATAGCAATAGTAAATATTGGCGAGACTAGAGCTGATAAGTGTATAAATTTAAAAGTAGAAGGAAGATGTGGAGATATTCTACCGAAGATTTGGCAGCTGAATATTTCAAAGGATTGTATAAGATAACCAATGTGAATAACTTTTAAATTATTAATTACATTAATTTAGAGATAATTATTAAATATTATCAAAAATATTGTACAGTGTATTATAATATTTTATTCTTATAATTATTAATTTTTTAATATATGTATTATATATAACGTTTTAATAGACAATATGCAATTTAAATGAATATAAAAATAATTAAACAAATGAAAATTTCTTGGAAAATCGTATGTCCCTTTTATTTAATTCTGTAGTCATTTCTTTAAATATTTTATAAGTATTTGTAATACATTGATCTTATCAATGGGAAGACTTTGCCTCCTTTGCGTTTTGTAAACTTTGAGTGATATACAATTTTGCTAAGCTTTGAGCACAGAATTGCGAAATATGTTCACTATATGTGTTAATTTGTCCAGCAACAATCATTGGATTTAATCTTGGTGGAACTGGGAGGGGTCTCATCAACTTATTGATATCATCATCGGGTAGCGGTGGTTCGTCCTTTGCAGCCCTGGCAGCGTTTTCTTGAGCCCTCTTAGCCAAGAGCCTATTCTTATCTTGCTGCTGTCGAACCACCAATTGTTGGTATCTATTAAACTTCATCGCTTCCTGGTTCAATTCATCCACTCGATCCATTAAGCATCTCAACTGGTTCTCTAACACTGTGGCTGTTCCAAGATCCAGATACTTCGTACCCTGTTCCTCAGGAATCATTTCATCCAATTCCGACATCATAATATTTGTCAGATTACTGTTCTTTATGACTACTGGGATTTCAACAAAGAGACTTTCGTATCCAATTTTTAAAGTGCGCAGAGCTTCAGGAGTAAACTCATTTTCCTTGTACATCTGTATCGCTTGTGGAGTGAGTCGATACGCTTTAAGAGTCAGAAAACCCCTGGCAGATTTCGCTGTGTCATAAATAAGCACAACTGATTCCTCGATAGAAGTTTGATAATGGTACTGTGACTCCAGCAGAGATAGATTCAAAAAGTTGCCGACATCTGCACTCTGATACCAACCGACATGGAAGTGGTCAACGTTCACCCTACATATCATTAAACGTATCATTAAAATAATATCTTAGCAATAATGTCTAAGGCACAGCTTGGCTATTTCTGAACATCCACACTACACGTACCATCTCAATCTCCGCATCATGGCGAGCTGATACTCCTCCTCATCCATGATCTCATCATTCTTGGGAAACGGGAAACAATTGGTGATTTCCAAACGATTCTGCACGACCAAGCCGAGAAGAGCGCCCTGGGCAACCTCCATGTTGCCAGAGGATTCCTCGTGGCAGTGCTTCACCATCTTCATCACCACCAGTCCGTCGCATTGCACGTAGTCAATACGCGGTTCCACCTCGGGAATCCTTCTCGACGTTGTTCTCGAAACCATTTCTGATCAATTTCTCGTAGTTACAACAAAGTTGCATTCAACCACTCGGCCAACCGACGTTGATAGAGGTTAGCTGAAAAAAATAGCACTCCGATCGTGACGTCACTACACGCCCTTCTTCCACTTTCTAGTTCCTCCTTCTTCCTATTCTTATGTGACGTTTTCGTCGATGAGTCGGCAGCAATGAGTGTGCTCATGCTATCGTTAACCAATCAAAACTTGCGATTTCAGTCTCGCGTTCAATAAGCGTCGGCCTTTAAATTGACAACAGTCCGTAGTTGTGAAATTGGCCAATCATAGCTATTCCTCTAGAGAATGGAATGACAGTGATTGGCCAGTTTCATAACTACTGATGTCATTATACCTAAAAAAGTTACGCGGTACCGAAAGACGCGCGAAAAGGACGCTGTGTTTACGTTTGCACACGTCACAATTTTTAAATCACGCCTGGCGAAACGGTCTTTCCAGAATCCAGCCTGCACGATAACAAGTCAAAAGTGTGGAAATTGCTGCGCTTACATCATGAAAGACTGACTGATACATAAGACTACATAAGACTTTTACTTTCTGAAGGATAGACGAGATGCAGGCAAAAATTGAGAAATGGACGGAGTTGATCCAGTTGGGAAAATTGCAAGATGTGTCGGAAGATATTCAGGTATGTGCTGTTTCTCAATTAAAATATTAGCCTTACATTTGTGAATACAATTTTTCTGTTAATATCTTTCAGATGACTATCCGCGTACAATCCAACGGTAAACTCAATGACGGTTTATTTAAATTACTACTACGCTTATGTTGCATGGCAGATAAATATAACAAATGTAATAAACAGAACTGCGAGACTGGAAAGAGTATTGCTGTATTAGCTAAATTACTTTGTTCATTGCTGATCAAAGTACCTGATGACAACAACTTTGTCAAAGCTGTATTTAAAATTGTTCAGTGTTTAATTTCTTTTAACTTATACGAGGACGCGGCAGAGATCTGTTGTTATTTAAAACCAGGCAATTTGTATAATCCCCAAGATAACACTATGAATCTTGTGATAAAAGTATTATCCTTATGGCGTGTTTTAGTTAACAATGTATATATTACTCTTACAAATGAGTCATTCAACACAGAGAATTATAATAAGCTGAAAAGTGTCCTGAAGTATGAAATGGAAATGATGCAGATAGCATATAAAAATTATACAAAACATTTAATTATGGAGATAAGTATATACTTGGATAGAATAGCAACAATTGATAAAGACACGAAATATTTTGATGACTTTTGTAAATATATATTGGAATACTTGTCAGGGTTGCAGTTGTATTTAGACAAGGATGAGAAATATTTAATATATCGTTATATAATTCATATCATGTGTCATGTAATATGTAAGACTGTTAATACAACTCGTATCAAATCTACAGTAGCAACATTAGATGAATTATCTAATTATTTTGAGACTCTTGTGGCAGAAGACGAGGAATGCTACCAATCTTTTCAGCAATTTCGAAGCTTGTGTATGAATCTTCTAGTGCCAATAAAAAATCTTGTCCAGAATAATGCCAAAAATGTACAAAATATTATTTATTGTAACTTGAATATTATGCAAAAATATGGATATGAAAGTATTAAATGGAATGCACTCTCTATTGCAGAGATAGTTGAACCAATGTTTACGTACTGGGAAAAATGTGTGGAAACTGATAAACACGTACTCAAGAACTTGCTTGATACTGGCATCTTGCTGGAACTAATGAATTTATTTGTACAAATACATGTAGATGAATTTTATGTCAAGCAAGTGTCAATCAAATGCAAATGGTGCCAAGACAAATTGTGCACAGTTAAGAGGGATTTATACAATGCTATAGTAATGAAATTTAGATGTATTAGTTTATTATGTAAATTTCCTGTTAAAACTTTGCCGGCTGATGTGTGTGCTCTTAGCAGAAAAATTTTAAAACAGAATGTCGAATCAATTATTCGTGAAATGAAAGAAACCAAATGTGAGCGTTGGACGCAATCATGGAATACTTGTCGTAATTTAATTTATAACATAGGTGTGCTGTCTGAACATGTGTACGAAGAAAGCGTAAATCTGTTCTCCTTTTTATGTACTTCCATTTTTCAACTTGAATTAATTGAATCAAATTCTATATATTCTAAAAATTCCCAAAACTGTGAAAATATTCTTTCTTTTGCATTACACAGATTAAGTGTCATATATTACAATAATAATATGTATAGGAAAGCCATGACAGTATGTGCATTGAATGCTTTGTTAACTTATAATCAATTGAATACAAAAGCTTTTCGTACATGGATAAATATTAAGAAAAATACTTCTGAAGAAATTGCAAACTTAACTATGCTAGACTGCTTGACAAATGATAAAGACGAGATAAAGGATGAACTGGGATTTTCACTCGATATTTCCAAGTATGACTGTACTGAATTGTGTTTAAGTGAAGTAAAAAATTTGCTAGAGGAACAGATCACATTTACAAATGGTGTGGCAGCAGTTTTAGAAAAACTTAGAAAGCTACAGCCAAGTAATCAATATGCACACACGGTGCAATTATTAGGATATTATTTCTTAGGTTTCACACCACATGACAGCTCTATTCTGAAATATCATGAGCAAGCTATATGTGATTTAAAGCAAGATAAGTCAAATTCTGTGGCTGTTCTGTGCTTGGAAACTAACTTAAACCTTTTTATGTTTGTGGAGGAGTTGTATATAATGAATAAGCAAACTCAGATGGAAATGGAAAGTACAAAATTTGCTTTATGTGCTCCCAAGTTACGAGAACTAGCCGAAACCAATTCTCCAAATGTAGTGCCTGCTTATACTATGATAAACGCTAAAAAAGATACCAATCTTATGTTGTGTCTACAAAAATGTATACAAAAGTGGAAGCAACTATTTAAGTACCATTTTGTAAGTTATTAAAAATTTATTGCGTTCAACTATTATTAAAAGCTTTGCAGTTCAATAATTGTATGTCATTTTTTACAGAAAAAAATTGTCAAGAATTGGGAACCTAATCTTATACTTCGCATGCTGATAACAGCTGGTGAATATGCTCGATTATATCGGTATGAACATTGTGAAGCTGAAGTATGGACTTTGGCATATAAGTTAGCATCAGAAATGAATGATTATACAACTATTTATAGTACGTTGAGCTATTTATAATAATTAAGAAAAAAATGTTTTATGAATGAACTAATATGAATTCTATTACAGTCACAAGTCGTTGTATATCATTAAGACAAGTCAATTACGATTGGATTACTACTGCTAAGGAACATATCATAAATCATAGAAATTCTAAGGACGAAAATGTAATTGGCTCCATTGCTATCTTTTGGATAAGTTTAGCAGACCTTTATTTTGAATGTGGAAAGGTAAGAGGAATATAGCATCATTTATCTTTCTTCAAATAAATAGCTTAAAATACAAATATATATAATAATATATAATATGTATATACAATTTTCTGTTGTTTTTTTTTTTTTAGTATGATGATGCTAAGCAATTACTTATTGAAGCTAGGAGTCTTTCAGGAATTTCATTTCTTGCTAATAGAACCGTGTATTTGTTAAGTTTAGATGTCATCATACGCAATAGTCATTTTTATATAGATAATATGCAGCATGAGAATTATGGTTCATATATTGTGGAAAGTTTATTGGCAGTAAGAACCTTAAATCAAGATCTGTTGTCGAAAAAATGTAATTATAATTAATGAAACCATTTACATTTTTATTCTATATAATTCTAATATAAAGCATCGTCAAATTGTATAAATATAAAATTACTCAACTATTTATAAATCGATCTTTTTCAGGGACAAATCGATCAACGTATCTTTTTAGTTACGATACACTTTTCACTATGGCAGTTAATTTGTCCGTAAGGATAAACAGTCTATTATCTTTTCGTGGTATTTGTCCGGATCTAGTATTACTCTTAAAGTCGGCACAGAGCTTAAATGCGATGATACGCACTGCCGAACTATTGAAATCGTTATGTTACATCGATTTGTCGCGTTTACAACTGGAGGATTGCGAAGTGAAGTTACAAGGACTTGAACACATGTTGAACATCGAGACGTTTCAATTATCGATGGAGTCTAAACCCGTTGAAACACCGTTCGTTCAACTCCCAGTGACTCCCACGAAGATTGTAGATCCTGTCAGAGATACGCCTCAGTATGGCGCTTCCCCAGTGCTCGGCAAGAAAATATTTGATCCGCCAAAATTCACATCACATATGAATTGCGATTGCTACAAGTGTAGCAACGTTTCGTATCAGTACTTGGTATTTGCTACCACTTATATCAGAGCGCAGTTATATGCCTTGCAGAATCATACCGTGGCAGCACTCGATCATTTCCATGGCGCTTTTCAATTAAGGCAAAGACTATTCAAAGAAGAAAAACCAGTTCTACCCAAAAACTGGCCTTATGATGAAATTGATATAAAGCGATTCTCTTGGCAAACTCGTTATATAACTGATTATATACAGCTATTAATTGATTTCTGTTATTTTCTGAAAGCAAAAATAACGTCATCGAGACAAGAGGATGTATTCGATATTGCCAATTTAGCTATCAATGTATGCTACAAATATAAATTGCAGGGACATCCTATTTATATAACAGCTAAGGAATTAGTACTTGATAATGAATTCCAGCCGGTATTGGACTCTTCAGACTTAAGTATGTACTTTTTAACAATTCATGAGAAAATCGGACAAGAATTTACCTCGTATTTTTTTAACCGCTTGAAACTTTTGTTACGTGATATATACACTTATATCCCTCTAAGAAATTTTTCATTATTAATAACTTCAAAGTAGAGCGGGTGCTCAGTTTTGTAAAAACTTCCATATGAAAAAATTTAATGAATTTAATTTAATAAAAAAATTACTTAGAAGAGTATATAAGCTCAGACATTTAAAATGATGTATGTATCATGTAACAATAGTTCCAAGCAATTTAAAGAATACGAGGTAAATTCTTGTCCGATTTTCTCAGGAATTGTCCATATAGCTTTCTTTGTTAGAATAAATTATGGGTGAAATTTTTTTATTTGTATGATATTTATATGATAAAATCTTTGTTACAGAGTTTACGGTTCCGCCGCCACACGAAATTGATATAAGTGATCATGCAAAAATCCCAATTGATCCAAGCGTTTGTGTTACGCCATGCGCTCCGAAGCATCGTGCCAAGAAACCTGTTTCAGTTCGACGTAAAAAGAACGCAACAGCTTTAAAGATACCTAAAATTAATTTGATTTGGAGTGATGATGAAGACGACAATAGTATATCACCACCACTTGCCACGAAATAGAAACGAATATAAAATCCAAGTCACGTACAAATTTCTTATAAATTATACATTTTGTGCACTTTATTGTAGAAAAAATATTTATTAAACATTAATTAAATATTTATTTTACATTTGTTATTTATTCGTGATACGAAATTTTAAAAAATATTTATTTACCGTTTAGCGTTTATTTAACATTTATGTCACTTTAATCATTCATTTGCAATAATAATTTTATAAAACATTTACTTATCGTTTATAAAACAATTTAATATTCATGTTACACAATAATGATTTATTTGCAGTAATAATTTCAAAAAACTTTTAAATGTGTATTCAACAAAATCAGAAGACTTCAGAAATCCCTAACGAAAAAAAGTTCTTTAAAACCAAAAAATTAAAAGAAAGAATAGAAAAAGTAAGGACATTATTAACGAATGAACATAAAAATGCACGAAATAAATGTCCCAAATTACTTATAGATAATGAGGAACAGTACAAGAACGACAATCCAGTCTCCGAACATAAAAAAAAAAAAGGAAAAATCATTTACTCCTTTCAAAGTTTTGTCAAAACGATAAAGACACTATTGCGTGTATTCCATAGCATGATGAAATAATTATTTTTAATTACAGTCAAATTTTATAATTAAAGATATATCTTACTGTCTCTTATACTTAACGGAAGATTATTAGAGGTTTTCCATGTTTATAAATTATTCGAATGATTAAATTGAGGATTTAAATTTTTTATTATACTTAATAAATAGCCATTATTTTGTTCCAACTAAATATTTTGTAACTAAATTCAATATGTTGACACTTTTATGTTTTCATTCTTGTATTTATTATTCTTAACATAAGTATCACACAAGTGTCTCGTATAATAACAATAAACTGTGGAGCAAAAAAATAAACATGTAAATATATGTTTACATGCATGTTATACAATTCCGCGGTTTTGCGCTAACAAAAAACAAACTTAATTACAATACTTGTTTTAACTAGAGCTCGAAATACCCGAGTACCCGCCCGCCCGTTCTGTTATTCGTGCATACAGATCTGTTACGGGATTTTCTAAACGTTTTATCGACAATTGTCGCAATCGTTAGCGATAGCGACAATCATCGATAAAACGTTTAGAAAATCCCGCTACTAGACCGGTTTCGCTAATTCGAGTATTCGCAAAACCGCGTACAAAAATGTGAGTATACCTGTGGAACCATGTGTGCGATACGGGTACTTGAGGAATCGTGTGCGACACGGATACCCGTTTCGATGCGAGAGTATCCGCTACATGTTAAATATCTGCGTGTAATTTTGTCAATTTTAAAGGTGTATTTTACAATCTTGTTTGCAATTAAAATATTCCAGAGCTAAACTGTTCCGTTTTCGCATTATGGATATTAAACACATTTCCAAATTTGTCTTGCAGGGATTGTACATCCTTAATTCAAACTGTTGTTAAACAATTCTAAAACGCCTTTAAAATTGACAAAATTACACGCAGATATCTGTAGCATATAGCGGATATCCGCATCGAAATGGGTACCCGCATCGCCCACGATTCGGCGAGTACCCGTATTGCAAACGATTCTGCGGGTACTCGCATCGTACCGAATTAACAGGTACCCGCGGAACCGATCCAGAGTCTATGCACGGGTAACGGATTTGCAGGCGGATACCCGAATTTTACATTACCCGATTCTTTTTCCGAGCTCTAATTTTAACTGATTTAATGTATGAAAAACGATTATTATGCAATAAAAATAAGTAATAAGATTTACTTTAATTCTATGAGACACATTTGCTTTTTTCTGAGCAGTGTGTGGAAGAAAATGGATTTATAAGTTAAACAGTTACCCTGTTTTCTATGTATGTATAATTAACACATGAAATTAAAAAATTCAGAAAAACCATCAGAATTAAGACAAACACAATTCATCACATAATATAATGTAAAAGTTAAAGTAATAATAGCACTAGTTTATAAAAAATAATCTTTTAAATTTGAATCAAAGTTTTTATAGATTTTTTTAAACGGTTAGAAACGCTGTCGCAAGCCAAACTTTATCAACATATCAAGTTTAAAAAAAATTGAGATTTAATATGCAAAAAATGGTGTTTAAGATATTATAACATTTTTTCCATAAAAAAGATTGACGTTATCTTTTAATTCATAGTGTATTTTTGGTCCGATTTAAATTCTTCACAATATATGAAGCTTATAAGATATTACAATAAAAAAAAAAAGCATTTTAAAGGAGGATGAATATATATTCATAACTTCTAATCATAATTCCAAGATAATGCTAATCTTTTTTACAAAAAAAGTTTAATATTGTAAAAGACATCTTTTATTAAATTTAATTATTTTGGAAAGCTGAAATACTGATGAAATTTGGCTTGCGGCAAATTTTGTTTTGAGCATCCAAAAGTCTATGAGAAGCATCTCTTGTCAGATTAAAAATAATTTTAAACTAGTTAATGTTAAACTAGTGTAATGAAAAGAAAGAAAACAGATGTGTTTCACAGCAAAAGACTGTTTTTACAATTGTATGCCGATAAATGTTACTGTGTACATGAGTGGACTGTGTTACATGCGTGGACAGCTTTTATTTGTTTTTTTTTCTTGTATATAAAAATAACAAAGTTACATTAACCTGTAATCACAGTCTGTAAATGGCTATAATGACAATTCTGAAGCCGTGGAACAGTCATCCCTTACATGTTTAAGATGTGCTAAAACCCGCGCCTCTTCTTGCGTCTTAGCCAGTTCCATCAATGCTAAAGCACCCTGCCATTTCTTATTGTCTTCCTGTACCGGTAACTTATCTAGGCTTATATTGTCCTCCTGCTTAACACTAATTATTCTTGTCTCCGTTTTTACGGGATCCATTGCGAGGGACGGTTTTGAGACAATTTCTTTGCTGCTATTAGAACTACCAGCCAACATCAGAACCGTTGGTCTAGTTTCGTTTTCGCTGATACGAGAGTTTGCTAGTGTATCCTGTTTCGTTGTCTCTATACGAACAATCTGCTCTGTGTAATCGAAAATCGAACATGCAGATTCAGAACTTTGACTTTGAATTTTTACAGCAGATTCGTTAATACTAGTTTCAAAAATACCCTGATTATTTGACAAGCTATTTAGCGGATCCCATTGTGGCTGATTCAGAGAATGCATAATCTCATATACATTTTCTTCCTCTACTTTTGTAGGTTCGTTGTCGTGATTTATCATGCAACACATTTGAGAGGTGGCATATGAAGGTTCCAATTGTGTATTCGGAATTTCAAGTTTGCTGTCCAGAGTCGATACAGTTGTATTATTCTCGGGGACAGAATGGTCCAAGAATGCCGTATACCAGTGAAATTCCGATGATTCTGTGGGTCTGTCTAGAATTTGTTTCTCATCCATCTTGCGTATGGTCGTTACGTTGTTAGGTCTAACGTCCTCGTTTAGGTCTAGCTGTTGGTCTAAGCAAGCATACCGTAGCCATCGTTTCTTTGGTTGCAGTCTGTCCAAGGGTCTTCTCAGTGAGGTGATTGCTAACTTGGCGTTTGATCCTTCCTCGTCCTCGGATGTTTGTAGTATCGCGCAGCATGTTTCCGCTGGATCTTCATCCTGGCTTTCTTCTTGACTATCTTGATTCTCTTCGCAGTGCAGTCGTTGATTTGAAGGGTTGTGGTCGAGATTTTCCTGTTCTCCCGCTATATCCATCATAAGGCCTTTTCTGGATTTTATCCTCTTGTGATTTTCGGCAGTGCTCTTCCATGTTTTCTTCTTTCGTTCATTCTTCCCAGTCGGTGTACGGTCTTCTCGTTCCCTGGACATCTTGTAACGTTCCAACCATCGACTTACATCGTATGACAATTCCATGTTTTCAGATACTGGCTTTAATACAAAGTCATCTGATCTTGTGAGATTGGCATAAGGATGATCGGGGCAATGTCTATTGGCGTGAGTAAATCTCGTTTCACAACCTGGTACGGTGCATAAAAATGGCTTTTCTCCTGTATGCAATCGTTGATGAGTCTTTAGTTGTCCCGATTGGGTGAAAGCCTTCGAGCATCCAGGATAATCACACGGATATGGACGTTCTCCTGTAATCGTAACATGAATATTTTATCAAATTATTATACAAATAAATTCTGAAATACATGTATATACAAAATAGCCCTCTAATATTTTGTAATTTGCTTTAAGACAAAATGGAATCTGACTTGTACATACAAACGTTACATTTCAAGAATATTAAATTTTAATTTTCTCTCTAAATAAATTACATGATACCAATACCAATTATTAATCTTTTGAAAATCTCAATACAATTTTAATGTGTAGCTCAATCCTTAATATAACAATAAAACAATAATGCTTTCTACCAATGTAGATTAATTTTAATCTCGATTCAATTTATTTTTCACATTTTTCTAATTACAATTAAAAAAAGATGAAGGGTCAATTGAAATTAAAATTAAATTATAAGGATAGAAACAAGTATAAGAAATTTTACTACACATCTGGCATTTAAATCTGCCAAACATTAGTTTTCTAAGTTCAATCAGTCCTATTATGAAAGAAAGAATACAGCAGTCAGGAAGGTTCGTAATATTTTTGAAAAACGCGTCTTTTGGCACGTGAGAAGAAGCGTCGCCGCATGTTTTTGTGTTATCTATACACAAAGAAGAAAACGCGCCACTTTGTGCCGTTAACAAACCGACAGTACGCGTGAACAAACATCACGGTTCTCCCCTCTCCATCTCTCTCAGGACCGATTAAAATTCCCACGCAACTCGGGACTCGGGACGGCATCGCCGGTTACACGTGTCACCGCGTGGTATAAATTTCGCGCGCAACTGGCAAACTACGGCCACACGCGGAGTTGGAAAGGCGTCGGTGCCGAGACTGCCGGGTGCGTCGCAACGTCGCAGCGTCGCAGCGTTGCGCCGGCACGCAAGTCGAGCCATTTAAGTATTTAAAGCGCGGCATGATGGCCGATTGGCGGGACTGGCGCGAGCAGGGAGACGCACGCGA